ATTCATATTTAAATATGAATTCTGCGTGTCTCTGTGTTAATGAATGGCGCAGACGTGCGGTTTTGCTTACCACTCGTACTGAAGCGCGCGCAACGCTTCCGGTGATATTAACGTCTACCGTCTCACTAAATGAGGACATAAATACATGAACAACATCTCCAGAACTGCTCTGAGAGTCACTTCGTGAGCATTTGATCGTTTCATTTGAGTAAAATTATCCTCATATCATATACACACAGAAATGTAAAGGTATTCACATCTTCTCAGATGATGCCAACCCTGAAACAACATACAGAACTACCACATTTTGCTATAAGTTTGATTGCATCATATAATAATTGCTGTTAATAGTGTTCATCGTCTGTTTTATTACGTCTTAAATTTATTTTTCCGTACATTTCTGCCATATGTACATTAATTGACAGTCACCACTGATAAGCTACCGCTAAATATTGTAGAAACTTAATTTGCTGTAAAGTTGCTTTGCAATGATTTGTATCGTGAAAAGCGCTGTACAAATAAACTTGACTTGACTTCACGGCAACCCGTCAAATAAAAGTTTGGTTTAACTTGAAGGCATTGTGGCAGAAATATATTACTATTGTTCAGTATAATGTACGTAATAGGCTGCTACTACTACTACTAAAATTATTAAAACCTTATTTTTAAGAAATAGTCATACAATATTTCTTCAATGTTTTAATTGTAATATTAAATGACCTTTATTTTCCCATAAGGCTATTGTAAGAATAAATTAAACTTGTTTTTATGCTTTCAAATAATTAGACATGCTAAAACCGTATTTGGTAACAATAAAACATAAGGTTGGAAAAAATAAAACATTTCATAAGGCCCTAAACATGTAATTTTTGTTAAACTTTTAATATATTGTTGTTAAATTGTTTAAGTTTCATGATTTTAATTAATTAGACATGCTTTTTGATTAATAAAATTTAATTTAACCATTAAAAATGGATAGCATTTTTATATATAAAAATACGATAGCAGACTAATGCAGATATTAATGAAGTTATTAGACAGACAGAGAGAGAGAGCGTGCATATTACCACTCTGAGTCTGTGAGTCTCTCAAAATTTTTCGGCAGCAGCGTCTCTACTAACATTGAAACTTTAAGTTCATTTTCTTCACGAACAGCGCCGTTGTTACCTCGCTTGTGAGAAATATCATGTAGCTTTTAAAATAAAATCGCCAGAGTAGCGACAACAACGTTAGCGCGTGTATGTTTCTGTACTGTAAGTTATGTATATGCGTCTGTGAGGGAGAGATGGAGCATGTGCTTTACCTACATAATAAATCGTAATTATGTGGCAAAACATGGAAATGATTTGTCGTTTTTATCATATTGCTTGCTATATTTATTTGTCTGGCCAGTGTTGTTGTGGGTTTTGGTTATTGTGCTGTTGTAAGACCTTTGAAATAACAGAAATCATTTGGCGAAGTGATATGGACATGTAATGGGGTCCAGAGCTGCTTGGAACTACGTTCGCTGTGCGTTTCCCTGAAAATAATTGCACACCTTAGAACATTCGTCATCCAATCAGATTCAAGCATTCAACGGCCCCGTAGTATAACTAATATGAACTAATAGAGCCTTAATGTAAAGTGTGACCGAACAATAAAGAATCAAAACATTTTCAAACAATATCAAGGGCATGTTGTTAGTCTAGATTAAAATGTAAAAAATGTTGAAAATAAGTAGAGTATAAAGTCTAAGTCTTTAAGTATACAGTGTTGTGATGAACACAACTGCGAATACAAAAATCTGAATGGCCGTTTGACATCAAAGTACCACGAGAGCGATTGGAGAGCAGATGACTCTTTAAGCTTTTGGATTGCTCTCGCGGTACTTTGATGTCATACGCCTATTGGTCTGCGCAACGTCGATGCATCTTGAACAAGCCTATTTAAATCCTTTTCAGAAACAAAGTAGCGCAGCTGCTTTGGTTGCGGCTGCATTTCTGCTGTTCCATCAGCGCCATCTGCTGTCAGCGAGTGAATGTGCATTTTCATTTAGTGCGTCTCTTTCTCTCGTTCCTCAAGCGCTTCTCAACCATGTTGGGCTTGTTTACATCAGAGTGCGCATGCGTCTTTGACACAGCATACAGCAGTGTTGTGCATTTTAACCAGTTGATGGGAAAAGTATTCTTAAAATGCATTAAAAAAATCAGAATAATTTGTAATAAATAATTATCCACTGTATTTTGAAGTGCCCACAATAATAATATCGTGCATGGTTATTATCGTGAAATATTGTATTACTGAATACCGGCAAATGTCTACAAGACTGTCAGGGTGATGCAATTATCCTGATATCATTAAAATTTAAAACATGTGTTGGACAACATTTTTGAGATTATTAATGTGCACACCAGGTGTAAGGGAAATGTTTTTTTTTACTTTGCACACCATGAGACATTTATATAGTCAAACTTTTATTGAAAATGGTAAAAGGTTTTTTGTTTTCCTTTATCATGGGCAATCTTATTTGGCATTCGTAATCATGCAGCCTAATCCATAATGAACCCTAAATCCAAATTTTGGTCAGTATGATGCTTTTTTCTTTATCTTCTGAACACACTTTCTCACTTTCTTTTCTATGCAACCCAGTGCTTGATAGTAGATTAGCTCTTTTATAATACTTTATTGGCCAACTTTTTACCCACTATTGTCTAATAGAGTTACTAAGCATTTGTTACCACATTTTCATCTTATGCAGCTCCTACAGCAGCTGAAAAGGCTGATCTGTGATTTATGCCGACTCTATAACCTGCCCCAGCATCCTGATGTGGAGATGCTGGATCAGCCTCTTCCTGCTGGACCCATCAGTCAAGACAAGAAGGTAGGCCAAATCAGCACAGACCTACATAGTCTTATTACAATCCTTCCTTTTCCCTTTTTTTTTTTTTTTAAAGGCGTGTGAGCTGATGCAGACTTTTTGTCCTTGTTCTTCCCAGCATGGAACAACAGATGAAGTGACATCAGAAGAAGAGGAGGAAGAGGAAATGCCAGAGGTATTAAGCTATAGGGAATGTGATGGGTTCCTCATGACTCCAGTTTTGACAAGAGGACTAGTTGATACCTAACACTTTCTTTTGTTTGTTGCTGTGGCAGCAGGATATAGAAGATCTAGACCACTATGACATGAAAGAGGAGGAACCGGTTGATGGGAAAAAGTCAGAGGACGATGGCATTGAAAAGGAGAATCTGGCCATTCTGGAGAAAATCCGCAAGAACCAGAGGCAGGACCACTTGAACGTAAGTGTCCATTCGGTAAGGTAACTTTTTTATACAATTTTGGGGTTGGGTGGAGCAATATTGTTTTTAATTATGCAGTATAGCAGTATCCTCTCTTTATGATGTGTAATATAATGCAATAAAGCAAAAGTTTTATTTGCAAGCAGGGTCAGCTTTTTTTCTTTTTGTGAAGCCTGTAATTTATCCACAAGAATAATTTGAAAGTTTGTTTCTTGCAGTGCTGTATATGTTCCCTAAATGCTTCATTGTTGGTCTTGTAGGGTGCGGTGTCTGGTTCAGTTCAGGCCTCTGACCGCCTCATGAAGGAACTCAGGGAGATCTATAGATCACAGAGTTATAAGACAGGTAACTTTAGTTGTGCAATACAGCATTGACATTCCCATGCTTCTGTTCCAAACCTAATGAGTTGCCTACTGCCTACATAGGCTGCTGCCTTCTAAGGAAGCATCTTCACTGTTATGGCAGTTCCTTTGGCCAATTTTTTTCCAGTACAGCTTTTCGATATTAAACATGGAAAAAACAGTGTCGCTTTCAATTACAATTACAATTTGAAATTGTACTATAAAGTTGCTGTCCAGAGTGTTCACGTTTTTACTCTAGTTTGACCTTGACGGATGGAACAGAAGAAATGAGCCATAGAAGATTTTTTTTAGCAAATAAAGCGGAGCCCCTGAGCACACCTACCTATTAGGCAGTCGCAGTGAACCAATGGTAGTTTGAAGATGTTTACCAGCTGGAACAAACTTTTCTGGAAAGTTCGCTTTGGTTTTGAACTCCAAACGAACTTCGTTTGGCCTGATTTTGTTGGAAATGACATCACACCAGTTTGTTCTTTGGATTCACTTGAAGTATATCGGGGCATTACGTAGCCCTACCTTTTGCGACTGCTACTTTTATGTCAGGAGTGCGCCTGTAATGCCTCAACATGGTTTTGGAACACATCTCTCAGTTTTCATTAGTTTTGTCTTGTTCCAGGACTGTTACAGATCTGTCTGATAAGTTTGTTTACCATTCTGTCTGTTCCAGGTATCTATTCAGTGGAGTTAGTCAATGATAGCCTGTATGAGTGGCATGTCAAGTTAAGGACGTAAGTATGGTTGCATAACATGAAATACCATGTGGGCTGATGATGATTTTAGTGTTTATGTCTTTACTGTGTAAAATCACTCTCGTGTTTTTTTAAGGGTTGACCCAGACAGTCCGTTACACAGCGACTTGCAGGTTTTGAAGGAAAAAGAAGGCATGGACTACATTCTCCTCAATTTCTCTTATAAAGTTAGTGTTGTTTTTTTCTTTGTTGTACAAAAATACTGATTGAAGATAATTTGATTTGAAAGGAGAGATTATGCAACTGAATTGCTGTTTTCTTGCTTGCTGATGGCAGGATAACTTTCCTTTTGATCCTCCCTTTGTACGGGTTGTGTCGCCTGTCCTGTCTGGAGGGTGAGCATGAGCACTTTTACCTAGTAAATAAGTCAGACTAGCCTTTCTATGCTATTAAAAGATTCTAAAAGTAAAGATTTTACTACATTTGATGGATGATTATATTCTTTCCCCCAAGAATAACATTAACAGATGTATTGTGTATAATGCTGTCTTTAAAGTTTTTTTGCATTAATTAATCTAGCATGTAATTGTAACTTAACGGAGAATGAGGGCTGCTAATGTAATTAGTTTTTCAAGACAAGCCATGTTCAGAATTAAAGCTAGAGATTTCTTCTAACCACCATCAACTCTGGCGCTCCCGTCCGCTGCTCACAGAGTTTCTACAGTATGTAATGTAGCCATTGCTCTGATGAACACCAGTTGCGCCGCTGTTTTCATGTGGGTGTGTAGTGCTGCTTACACTATCTTCTTAAATATGCTGGTATTGCCGCCATTCATAGGCTTTTCATGATAGCCAACATTTCAGCCCCATGTGTAATGCAGCTCACAGTCACTGAATGTGTATTATTTGATAATGTAAAATTCCAGACAAGTTTTCTTACGTGCATCCGTTTTTTAATGCATCTTGACTGTCGTACAGTCTGACGTTAATGACAACTGAGATCCCACAGTGTGACATGATCATCATGTTCGTACAGTCTGACAAGTAACAATCGTAAAGGACTATTATAAATCAGACAGTGTGTGCCCGACTTAAAGGGGTCATATGATGCTGCTAAAAAGAACATTATTTTGCGTATTTGGTGTAATGAATGAGTGTTTATGCGGTTTAAAGTAAAAAAAAAAACACATTATTTTCCACATACTGTACATTATTGTTTCTCCTCTATGCCCCGCCTTTTTGAAACGCGTCGATTTTTACAAAGCTCATCGGTCTAAAAAAGCGAGGTGTGCTGTGATTGGCCAGCTATCCAGTGTGTGGCTGACTCTGAACTTTTATAAAGAATATCTCTTTGGATTTGAGACTTTAGTCTTTGCAACTTTACAGATCTTCTTTATGTACCAAGAGCTTGTAACACTCCAAAGAGAAAGGAAAAATTGAAATCGCATCATATGACCCCTTTAATACAAATAATTTTCATTTGCATAATCACAATCTGAAGTGAAATAAATGGTAATTTGCTCTACCCTGCTAAATAAAATTTAAAAAAAAATATATATATATATACAGTGGGTACGGAAAGTATTCAGACCCCCTTAAATTTTTCACTCTTTGTTATATTGCAGCCATTTGCTAAAATCATTTAAGTTAATTTTTAAAATTAACTTAAATGATTTTAGCAAATGGCTGCAATATAACAAAGAGTGAAAAATTTAAGGGGGTCTGAATACTTTCCGTACCCACTGTATATGTATTTTTTTCCTCTCTCTCATCTAGCTATGTTCTTGGTGGAGGAGCCTTGTGTATGGAGCTACTTACAAAACAGGTTTGAATCCTCTGAATTCTGTAAGGTTTGCACATTGAAATAAACTAAATCAGAAATAAAGAAATAAATCTGATCTCCTAGGGCTGGAGCAGTGCCTACTCAATAGAGTCAGTCATCATGCAAATCAACGCCACCTTAGTCAAAGGGAAAGCCAGAGTGCAGTTCGGAGCAAATAAGGTTTGTCCGGCCTCCTCATAAACAAACAAAAAAAAAATTATAATTGCTTGCAGAAATGTTGACCATTTCCCTTTTGTTTTCTACAGAATCAATACAATCTTGCCAGAGCACAACAGTCATACAAATCATTGGTTCAGATTCATGAAAAGAACGGTAGGTGGAGAAACCGTAAAACGAGATGCAGAATTGATGCACTTTGAACTGTTCTCAGATGTTTTTTTTCTGACGTTTTTCCTCTAGGCTGGTACACACCTCCTAAAGAAGATGGCTAGGAAAATCATTGATCCACTTAAACACTGCAAACATGGGATATCTGGTCAAAACTTTGCTTTATTTTACTAATGTTTTCACCTCTTCAGCTTGAGTATGATGCCCCCTCCTGTAAGTGGAAGCCATCGGGGAAACGTTTGCCCTCTCGCTGTCTGGAATGCTCAGAAATTTGCATCGTCCTTTATCTTCTGCAAGGCTGGACTCTTTGACCAGATCCCATGACGTCTGGATTTCTGTCTGTTTCTCATGCGCTCTTTCTCTCTCTCATCTTTTGTCTTCTATACTGATGGGACGTTCAGAGCCTTGGTACTCATAAGGCATTCAACATGGCGTTTCAAAATGGTCTGATCAGAGAAAGAGGTTTTTTTTTTTTTTTTTTTTCCTTTTTTGTTGCTTCCTTTTACTGGAGCTTGGCTCTGTTCAGGATTATTACATAGATGGAGATGCTCAATGAAGATGCTGGATCTGATCCTCTCTGTCTGCTTTTAAAGGACGTTCTTATGGCCATGGACTTTAAATGGTGGTTTACTGAACTTAAAACAGGATATGGATGCAACTAGAGACAATGTGAAGACAATGTGCCACTGCTCTTGTATCTATAGAGACTTTTTTTCCCTCATGCATTCTGAGATAACATGTAATGGTACATTTAATGCTGATGTCGTCGAAGAATCGTTACTTGCCACAATTATATGCGTAAGCTTCCTAAGCAACCCTAATATTAACGATAACAGCGAGGACGAGAGGAAGGGGCGCTTATACAACTCTAGCTCAAGATCTTGTTTTTCCAACTAAGGATGAATTCCACTCAGTTTCCTCAAGCTTGCTTTTAGCATGTGGCTGATCTGACCAATAATGGACAAATGCAAGCATTGGCTTTGAAAAGGCGAAGCGGAACTTGCTGTCGCTCCATATTTGAACAGAGCTCCACTTGTATACTTGTAAATGGATTTAAGGTGTCTTAAATGTGGTGTTTATGTGAAGTGGGGGAATTAAATGAGTTGTTTTCACATGAGGACTTGGGGACTCGAAATGGGGAAAAGGTTGATGTTTCTCAAAATAACGGGGGTAATATCTTACAAATTGTATTTATATAAGTGATATGAACATAACTTTTTTTGCCACCCTTAATTGTCATTTTCATAATTTCTGCTCCATTAAAAAACAACTGTTACAGATTGAGACATTTGAGGTTTACATTACTAATGGACCTCTCATGATCAACAGTACTTAAACTTAGAGTTTGTCCATGCTGTCAGTTTTATTTTGTGAGCATTGATGGATTAAAAGAGTGCAAATAATACTTTTCTCATAGCACGACACTACAAGAGCACTGTTTCTTTCCATGCCTAATGGACATTTTTCACAATACTCAAGGCGTTATTTTACCTCTTGGATTTGAACATCCAGTATAAAGTCTTAAGACTGGTCAATGCTTCAGCGTTCATGGCGAAAGAGAAGTTGTCAAAGTACACCATACCTCTCGGTTTTTTTTTTTTTTTTTTTTTTTTTCATGTTTTAAATCATTTCAAATATCAGTATTCAACGTTTTATGTTTAA